TCTCAGGTGAAGTGACATGACCAGTCGTGACCTGCGCCATTTTTTCATGTGGGGAGGGGGGGGGGGGGCAGACCCCCTGTTCCCCCGATACCTTTCACGTGCAATATCAAACTGAATTTATTGACTTATCAGAGGTTCCTGTCCTTTCTAATATCGAATATTATGCAGTTTTTATGTAGCAATGCAATCACCAATTTCTATCTACTATCTGCACACGTAGGTAAATAGCTATAGTGAGTAAATTACACATAATTTTATGTAAAAGTTATAACTTCCACCTAAACTGACTAGAGGTAAACTTTGCCATTAGAATTAAAAATACTCGTTTGCAAATATTGCTTTTCAACCCCCGCCCCACACACATTTCCAGTTCACATGCGCCAAAATATACCTGGAAGCAAAATTTGCGCATATTTAACATTTGCACATGGTGAGTAAATGGTTAATTTAATTGGTCTATATAATTTCACTTAAAGCTAATTAAATTGAGCGACTTGAAATTTTATTGCATGCGTATTGACCTTTTAAAAGGAAATTATTGTAAGGAAGTTTTTGACAATAAGGAACTTTAATGTACCTGTGTTATAAACTTCGTTTACTTTTTACAGGACAAGTAAGTGAAAACATTTGTATAATTAGTGTTAAGAATATCACAGTAGTATGGTGGCATATTTCTGCCCCCCCCCCCCCTTCAGATAATCATGTCGACTTTTGAGATCTTTTCGTTAACTTGTCACTTATTCACGTGTTTAAAAATTCAACATGAAAACGTGTCCATGCCCAGTTGAGGCCATCAGTTGACTACATATTTTCTGACAAGTCGTCATAAGTATCTGAAAAGTCAACATGAAGATCTGACAAGTCAACATAAGTCAACATAAAGATCTGACAAGTCGATATATTATCTGACAAGTCACCATAATTTCTGACAAATCGATATAGCATCTGACAAACTGAGTTGTTAGAAAATTATGTCGACTTGTAATTATACCGACTTGTAATTATACCGACTTATCAGGAAAATATATTTACTTATCAGAAAATTATGTCGACTTGTCAGATATTATGATGACAAGTAGATGTCAGTTAGTGGATTTAACATGCTGAAATAACAAAATACCGAGTTCCTGGTCGTGATAATTTTTATCTGACAAGTCGACATAATTATCTGACAAGTTGTCATAAATATCTGATAAGTCAACATAATAATCTGATAAGTCGACATAAACATCTGACAAGTGGTGGCAGAAATATGCCACCATACAGTAGGATGCTAACAAAATATGTGATAGAAATTTGTAAAATAGTTTGAATATTCATGTTTTATAAACACATATTTGCCATGAAATTTTTTTCTTCCGCCCGACTGATTTTTCCATTCTCCCCAAATTTTTATTGAGCTTCAATTAAGAAATAAATAACAAGTTTAAAAACTTCAATGGGAATTGAAGTGGGTCGGTCACGTGATCAAATCCTGTGAAGGCCGAAGGCCTTCTCAGAAGATTTGATCACGTACCGACCCACTTCAATTCCCATTGAAGTTTTTAAACTTGTTATTTATTACTTATATATACATTTGAGACGGACAATCGAATGTAATCGAATGTAAATATTGCACTAATTGTACGTCGTAGATTTTGACAAATCACGCTAGTTGTAAATCGGCTTGAAAAGCGGTTACGCTTCAAATTCATCTGGCAAAGGATTCTGTTTTGAAGGAATATTCTGTGAAAGGCTACTTGTGATCAATTATAGTGAGCATATTGGTGTCTGGGAATTTTTGTATTCATGAGAATCCATATTTGATTTTTAAAAAACACAAGAAACACGTCCGATGTTTGATAATAAAAAGTTGGAGGAATTTCGGTCGGAAAGGGATGGATGGAGACACTTGTCCGGACCAGATAACTTGAAGTCAAGTACAAAGTTTGATCAAAAACATAAAATCTACGATTTCAGTAAGGCATATTTATTAATTTATGATGTTGACACTGGCGACAGCTTACATTGTTGAGGAGGTTGGATCCTGCCATCAAAAGTAATGGCAATTTTTTATCAAGTATATTTTTAGAATCTACACACATAGCTTAATTAAAAATCAAAACAAAAAATGGGGGTCAATGCGCTTCTTTTGGCGCTACAGAGCATTTAGTTTGACCTTTTTGCACTGTAAATACGTCTTACACATAAATGAATTTTTAAAGTTTTTCCTCCAATATTTTCTATTCACATAAATTATGGGAACAAACACAGTCTTGTTTCATCTTAAATAGACACATTAAAATTTGTGACAACAAAAAATTTTAAAATTACTTCACATGTTCAATTATTTGACCTTTTTGCACTCAAAGAATATCATTTTTCTGGCATATAAAATTTAACAAGCAATAAAATCATCTGAAAGTAATGACACTTTATTGAATTTAAGAAGAATGGTTAAAAGTATCTTATATATTCAGAAAAGAAAATTAAAAGTGGGGGTCTGTGATGTTAAATTTTTGATTATACAAAAATAGTGCTAATTTTAAGCTTAAATTAGAGCTAATGTTTTGGATTTTCAAAATATATTTGCTATTTTTATCAAATATGATGATAGAATTCATGATAGTTTATTTAATATATAATTTAGGACCAGCATAAAACAGTTCACGGCACAGAATAACTCTGTGTGCAGGCTGCATGGAAAAATAAGAATCCAAACTTAATATACTTTAAATTCGTCGAAAGAGAAAAAATTATCATTTTCTTCTAAAAAAAACCTTCCGCCACAAAATATAGTTCCTCACGTAAAGTTTTTGGTATGGAATTTAATCATGGAGTTTTAACTGAACATAGTTTAATTAGTGTTGTAGAATCCAAATTTATTGTAAGAACTAAAACATTATGCAGAATTTTTGAAATATAGGTTAAGATAAAAATCTGCTCAAAAGCTCAGGAGCGAACAACGTCACAACGATCTCGATGATGGAGGTGTGCCTACCGAACTTCCAAAGTGCAGTGTTTGTCAGCTGTTTGTGGCGAGATTGCATTACATTGATATTTTTCAAAAGATTTTCAAATTTATTGTGAGTGAAGTTTAATGAAAAAAAAATTATAGCATTCAGAGGTCTGCGAGAAAAATAAGGGTAAACGTTGAGGCTATGCAGCTCAGACATGAAACTTATAACACGTAGTTTTCTATTCTCTATGTAAAATCGATCAAGAACTGTTAAATACTCTTTTACATTGTAAATAAAATTATTATTATTTTGCTTGCGTATTTTGTACATTTTTATGCATGAAAAACATGCTATATTGCTTAGTGGAGTAAGTCTTTTTATGTAGATATTACTGCGCTGTGTGATTAGGTCACGTAATGACCTATGACCTTCGAAAAACTTCATACAGGTATGAAGATATTTGCTCTCTGCATGTTTATATAATAGAGAGATACCACAAATGTATATATTGTGATTAAAAAAACTTGAACCAAACGAAATTCCTTAATATAAACATTTTATCATGTTTTACAATTTAACTTAAATATCTCCAGAATTTTTTTTTTAAATTTTAAAATAAATTACGGTCGCATTTTTGATCAATTTTGATATTTTAAATTATCATTCTGTTCACGTCTTTTCTCTAAGTCGATCAAAAATGCGACCGAAATTTATTTATTTTTTTATTTTATTTTTTTTTTAAGTCTGGAGATATTTAAGTGATGCATCATTCCTGAATAAAATCTTTGAAATCGATCCGCTGGTTTACGAGAAATTGTCTGTATTATGAATCAAAAGGAATACGTCAAGTAATAATAATGAAAATAGAAAGAAAACAGTATTCTTTTATTTATTTTTACCTATCAATTAAATAATAACAGTTATTAATTATCACAGGTGAATAAACAAATAGGAATACTTCCCTCATTAGAGTATTTCCCTACAATATCATTATCCCCCTGCCCTGGACCAGTATGTCTATTTTTTTAAAAAAATAATTTTCTTGGTCACGTCCCTTGGTTGTTCCAAAAAAGGAAAATCTCTAAAACCTAAAATAATTAAACAATTCAATAACATTCATACTCCTGAAAGCAGTAGAAGATAAAACTGCCATCTTATTGTTTGTATTCCCTGGCTGGCAGTTAAACCCTAGTCATATTTCCAAAAACGACCGACGGCCGACGGATTTTGAGGCAAAAATGGGATTCTTTGGGCGACAGTCGGCAGGTCATCGGCTATTGTCTTATCCGATTTTGACTTCTTTTTTTTCCTCGGCACAGTTCTAATTCTTTTCCTGTGTCGGTGGACGATTTCTTCAATTGAAGCAGTTATTGAAAAGTCGGTTGACCAAGACTCGAGCATCGTCTGACCATCGGCAGAAAGTTTATTGAATTTGTCGTCAGTCGTTCGATATCTAGGTCGTAAATGTCGGCCGATGATGTAAAATCAAACCGCGGGTCAGGGTTTGATACTTTTTAAATCACCTGTGTTCCTAGGAATTAATTTGACTGCTCCGCGTCGCCCGATACTATTGTCGACCAATCGTGTTTTTCAGCCAACGACACGAGTAAAATTTTGTCTACCGACCATCGTCTTAGATGTGACCTACATGTACAATACATGTATAGGTACATACAAGAAGACCAAATTTCTGACATACATGATCTCTCAAGCTGATAGTTTGTCTAACTGTGTATGATGTGTAATCTCAAAGAATCCTTTTAAAAAAACATCATTAGGATGACAATCTTTTTTATATTGAAGCTAAATCATTGTTATACTTTCAACATTCTCCGTAATTGGGATGTTTTTATTTGATATGCGAACAAACTTCCCTGATTGGAACTCTGATTCGAATAAAACAAATAATCTAAAATGGATCCCAAACTGCGTAGAAGCAATAAACTTTTTTTCCCTTTCAGTAAGTTAAATTTTATATCTTTAAAATAACTATCGTTTTACAACTGGCTAGTTGACAAAAGGGAAGTTTACACAATGATTAACAAATTGACAACCAGGGTAAGTCAAAGTCATATTTCAGGAACGCAACACATTTGAAGAAGTGTCTAAAACATGCCGTCACTGATGTTCCTGCTGTGGTCAGTTTGTCTGGTCCAGGTGGAGAGTTTGACAGTCTCTGACTTTTTTCCTTTTGGAGTGGGTCACGGTGATACTACAATGGCTGTTAATGATGACGGAAGCTCTCCCAATATTCCAATTTCTACTAAATTCCCTTTCTTCAATCACCAACACGACAAATTAATTGTAAGTATTTTGGAAGATCATTTTTCAATACACATGATACAGTGTTGAATATTTTAATCAGCTTTGGCATTCTCTCTAGGTTAGTACAAATGGTGCTATTTCATTCCTGGCTCCAGTGTCACAATTTACACCGGATCCTTTTCCACTGGATGGGGACCGTAGACTTATCACTCCCTTCTGGGGGGATGTGGATACAAGGAAAGGGGGGCATGTCCGATACAGGGAAACTACAGACCCAGAAATATTAGAGAGAGCTTCCAGTGAAATAAAAGCTTATTTCCCCGAATTTTATCGTTTTCACGCTGCTTGGGTTTTCATAGCTACGTGGGATAATGTCGCCTTTTATGGATGTTCCACGACTGGTTGTTTAAAGGTACAGATTTTTCTTACACTGAAGATTGCGTTTGCTAATCAAAAATTACTAAGTATTAGCTTTGTTTTTAATATTATCTTCACTGTCCAACCATTTCAGAGAAATACCTTTCAGGCTGTCTTAATAACAAATGGACAACATTCCTTCACCATATTTAATTACGCAAACATTGTCTGGACAACTGGAACAGCAAGCAATGGAAATGCAGATACAGGACTTGGGGGGACACCTGCGCAGGTCAGTGATTTGTCCCCCCAGCAGGAGAGGAGTGTATTAAATTCACTCAGTAAACCTACGATTAATAATAAAATAATTTCTCTTATGGACGTTTTTAAAGCCTGCTCTTACAATTTTCACACAACTGTATTTCACAAGGCAATTTTTTTTTTTTTTGCGGAAACGTGCTCTTCCACACTGTTTAGAAAACATTTTAGTGGAAATAGCTAGGAAACAAGCTTACAGACTAAAAATACACCGCTAAGGTTTGCATTGTATGTCTACATTTATCCTTATAGTCGTAAATTAATTTTTAAAAATATTAGTACAGTATCATTATTAGATATTTGAATAGATGTTTTAGCGATCGCTAAAAAAAAAATAATTAAGATATATTTGTGAAACACTGATGTCTCCGTAATTCAGCTCATGATCATGGTACAGTTTTTTGTTTGTTGGTTAACGTCCCTCTCGAGAATTTTTCACTCATATGGAGACGCCACCACTTGCCAGTAGAGGCCTGCAAATTTATACCTATACCCGGCACTCAGGGGCATTAAGCAGTGAGGCATCTTTTTCGTGCCAACTTCTACTGCGGCACGCAACCTCGGTTTATACGGTCACATCCGAAGGGCCGGTCTCTCCACGTCCCGCAGTGGATTCGAACCGGCGACGTAAGGGCAGGCTCCTTACTCCGGGACTCTAGAGCAAACGCTCTAACCTCTGCGCCACGCGGGTGACTCATGGTAAAGGTAAAAGTTTCTCAAATGCATGTAAAACCTCAAGATCAAAGTCAAGAGATAAAAAATATTGGTACCCAAGAAAAGCCTTGCCACAAGGAATACACTTATAAAATATAAAAGCCTTAGCACCAAGCTGTCAAAAGTTATGGCCACTATTAATTTTTTTAAAAAGTAGGCCAAACTCAAAGGTCAGGGTCTAAGGGTCAAAATCAATAGTGCCCAAGGATAGGTCTTGTCACAAGAAATATAAATGTTTAATAGGCCCCTAGCTCCAACCATTCTAAAGTTATGGCGAAGGTTAAAGTATTATAAAAGTGGGTCAAACTTAAAGGTCAGGGACAAAAGGTCAAAACCATAGCTTTAACCATTCAAAACATATGACCAAAGATAAGGGTTTTTTTAAAATGTGGGTCAAAGTCAAAAGGTGAAAATATTTGTATTCTAGAAATTTTTTTTACAAGGAAAACACAGCTGAAGTATGAAAGCCGTTGTTCCGAAGGTTCAAAAGTTATTGCCAAGATTAAAGTTGAGAGAATTTTGAAAAACGGGTCAAACTCAAAGGTCGAGGTCAAGAGGTCAAATATGTTGGTACCCTAAACAACGCCACAAAAAAGCCATATTTATAACCAATCAACAGTTATGGGCAAGACCAAAGTTTTTGTGGAAAAACGGACAAACAGACAGCTCGACAGACAGACGGACGAACAGAGAGAAATTTTTATGACCTCGGACCCTCAATTCCGGGGTTTAATAAAAGCAACTTTCTTATTAACAAACCTTTTTCACCCCGAAGCTTCATTATGAAAGATGGGTTGATTAATTTACGTGCATAAATATAGCAAATAAATTATCAAAACGTAACTTACTATGGATATTATGGGACTAGAGTTTTCATTGCAAGTCTTGAATATTTGCACTACTGGCGGAATTATCTGAAAAGTCGGGGGTGTAGTTGATGAACAAATACATGTAATATGTATTAATAATAAATTAATTAATAAAAATACAAAATATATTAACGACTTTTTTACCATAATGATGTCTTTGCGCCAAAGGCCTTCAAATAAATTGCTTTGCAAATGCTTCACATTGATAAATATACAAACTACGAAATTCACAAACTTAGATGACTGCATTTTTTTGGTGAGTGAAGTATTTTTGTGAGAAGGGGGGGGGGGGGGTCACAAATATAAAATATTGGCGATATTTCATACTTGTAAAAAAAAAAGACATAAACTTCAAAACATTTATCAGTTGAAAATTTGGATATATCTTTGCTATACTTTTGTTTGCTGAATTAAAGGTTGGTTTTAATGCTGGTGACGGGAAAGTATATTATGTAGTGAACGGATCACGTACAGCAGACATTGTCAACATAAACAAGAAGTCCAATGTACGCATTCCAGGAAAGTTCGTCTTCAGGATAGATTCATCGGAAATCGGAGGAGGAGGATGTAACACAGAAGGTATAAAGTTTTATATATTACATATATAGACTTGTATAAACTATCTTTTAAGTAACCAGGGATCTATATGTACTCACATAACAAAAGCCATCCCTACCTACGTATATCATATACCAAATTCATTATCATGTATAATATTATCTTGTATATTTGTTTCCACAAACCTATCTTTTACCAACTTAGTTTTATACATGAAATATGGAGATAACGAACAGTATTCAAGCTCAAAGTCCATTTAGACAATACAAATCGGGAGCAGAGGAAACACGGACCTCCAAAAACATCAGAGGTGGGATCAGGTGCCATGGAGGAGTGAGCATCCCCTACCGGTCACACCTGCAGTGTGCTTTTTGTCATGATCGGAAAATAGCAAAAAAAAATCAATTCAGTGTGTAAATAATGGCCAAACAGTTAGTATGAAAAACGTCAGTCAGCATTTGACTTAATGATAGGTTATATTTGCTAACAAGGCCATTGTATCGACCATAAAAGTTGAAAAATGATGGCTTTAAACGAGACTGTTGATATCCCTGTTTCATCACCTTTTTTGACAATGGCATGACTCGTTTTAGAAGTTGTTCATACGTAGAGCATGTTTTTACAAACTGGGAGACTAAGGTGATAAGGGTATATTGCTACATAAGTAAGGGAAGATGACGATTGAAAAATTGGAGTCCTCACGTTTATTATAAAGCTTTGTTGTTAGGTTACATTAAAGGCTTTTTCTAGTAAAATATCAAAATATGAAACAAATGTGTCAGACTCTGTGGTATCTTTTATTTCAAGCTCACTGGGATATATAGAGACCATATATGTAGGGAAGTAACTATTGTTAATTGATAAAATGTCGTCGATATAACTAAATGTCGAATTGAAGGCCACAAGTGTTTTCTTTTTCTTATGTAGAAGTTTCTGAATAAATTCTGCTTCATATGAATACAAAAATAGGACTGCTTATAAGGGGCACAATTGGTACCCATGGGGATTCCAACAGATTGTTGATAGACCTGATCTCCAAAAACTACAAGTATTGTCAATCAAACTACAAGTATTGTCAATCAGAAACTCAAGTATCTTTTTAATATCAACTTTAGAGTACTTGTGTGTTCAATCAGAATGTTTTTTAACAAAATAATTTTGCAAATGACCGATGACAAGGTTTATTTACTAGTTCCATTTTATTGAAAAATGCAGCTGTCAATAATCTCAAAAAGCCTGGACTTCAGTTTATCATGGGAAATGGTTGTATAAAGTGTTGAAAGGTCGTACGTTCTGATGTTATTGATTTTGTTAAAAATTTCTAATTTCCTAAAAGTTTCTTGGAGTTTTTAGGTATCCACAACTGATTTACGCTTCTTCTCGCATATACTGTTGTACAGTACTCCCGAAGTTTCTCCTTCAATGCTGTAAATATTTAAGTGAGGGGTAAAGAAAGAGACTTGGTAAAACATTTACTGGAACCCGCTATGTATCTTTGTAAGGATTTTTATGGAATTTTGGAATCCAGTATCGGTGTGGAAAACAAATTCATTTTGATAGTTAAGAATATTAAATATATTTAAAACTGAATATTGACATATACAACATTAAGTTTGCATGTAAATTTGACACTGTTTCAAAACTTGTACCCGTCAAAAGTATATAAGCTAAAGCCTGTATAGTGTAGGAAATACGTTGCTACAACTACAGGTAGGTGGAAAGAATCATTCCGATTCAGTGTAAGATGTATGGAGAAATCGAAGTACCTGTAAAGAATAGGAGGGGAGCTCGCGAAGAAATCAAATTTAGTATAAACGATAGAAAGGTAAGGAAAACCATCCGGGATCAGCGTAAGATGTTCAGTTCATGTCAAAAGTAGGAAAAAGGCTTTATCTTATAGTAACATAAGTTGGTATAATCTACAAGTTTGTTTCCTTACGATTTCCAGTGCAATGGTGAAGAACAATATATATAACGTATTCTCTAAAAGTATTTTTTTTTTCCCTTTTTATCAAAATAAGTAAACATTTTAAATGACTAATAATATTCTGAAAAAGAGAAACGTGAAAGGTAGACCTTTATTGAATATTACCCTTATAGAAAGACAGTCAAAAAGAACAGGTAATATGCTAATGTATAATACGTCGTCGATATATCTAAATATTGAAATGAAGGCCTCAGCAAGAGATTTCTGTTTCTCTTGTGTAAGATTTTGAATAAATTCTGCTTCATATGAATACGAAAATATGTCTGCTGACAACGGGGCGCATTTGGTACCCATGGGAATTCCAACAAATATTTAGAAGAACCACATAGATATTGTCAATCAGAAACTCAATCATCTTTTTAATATCAACTTCAGAGTACTTATGTGTACAATCAGAATGTTTTTAACAAAACAATTTTGCAAACGACCAATGACAAGGTAAGTAAATTACGAGTTCCATTTTTATTGAAAAAGCAGCTGTCAATGATGTCAAAACGCCTGGACTTTAATTAATCGTGGGGAAGTATTTGGTCACATGATCATGCCTGGCGGATCAAAGCTAAGTTTTTCGACAAATGAGAGCACTAAAGATGTTTTTTAACATTGAAAAAAACATTTAAAACAGAAATTCCTTCGTAAATAAACAAGAGACTTGCCGTCCACTTGCTGTACTCCAATTTCCGCAACTTATAAGGTGTTACAGCGTATGTATGCCTTTTATAGATTGAAATCCCAGGGTACACTCCTGGTCCCTCATAAAGAAGTGTTTTCCACATTCTCGTGCAAAATATAAAACTAAAATTTGTAAAGCCTGTTTGTGATATTTACTTAAAACCCGTTTGGGTCATAATAACCCGTCTTGGAGATGGTCTCAACCTGCTTAATTATTCCCGTTTTTTATTCTTATTCAGGCAATGTCATTATAACGCCAACGAGTGGTCCAATGCTTGGTGGTCAACACCTGACATTTAGTGGACCTTGTATTGAAGAATACACAATATTCAAAATCAAGTTCTCCAACACTAGATATACATTAAGATGTGAAATGGACTCACCCTACAGCTTCTATTGTATTACACCTAGGTTTAAGAGCGCTGGTGATGTCAAAGTAGATATCATATTGTCCAATAAAAACAAAACCAAATCGTTTATTGGAAACTACAATATTTGTAAGTATATCTATCAAATATTCTGAGTGAAACCATGTAACCCCCGTAAAAATACTTAGCATTGTTAAAGTTGCGTATAATATATAAGAACCCTGTTTTATTTATCCCTATTGTTTATCATTTTCCATAGAGCTCAGAGGTACGTGTCCATCTACATGTTTATGATATTTTGTATAAACTGAAAAAGCTTACATTTTAAACTGTGTGCATATAATTAATTACTAATAAAGACCATGTCATTATCTGTTAAAAATTATTTTCAGTGAATCCTGCTTTCAGCAAGGTCCTTGTACATCGCCATAATGGAAACAGCTGGGAAAATGATGAACATAATATATCATGGAATGGTAACGTGAAAGAACTTCAAAACGGTAGCACAGTAGATATCTACGTATACACAATCAAGGTATAAGTATCATAAGTATAAGATGTTTGTTTATTTGTATGTTGTTTATCGTCCCTCTCGAGAACTTTTCACTCATATGGAAACGCCACCAATTGCCGGTGGAGGGCTGCAAATTTTAACCTATGCTCGGCACTCAGGACCAGTGACGAATCTTTTTCGTGCGAACACCTACTGCGACACGGAACCTAGGTTTTTAGTCTCATCTGAAGGACTAGTCTCCAAGTCCCGCAGTGGATTCGAACCCTCGACATAAGGATTAACTCCTTACTCCGCGGCTCTAGAGCAGACGCTCTAACCATTGCGCCACGCGGTCGACATGAGTATAAGAATGTAGTACAGTAGATTTCTTATATACATATGAACACAATCAAGGCGCAAGTATAATGCTTAAAAAAGCAATAACGCAGGATATACCATCGACGTACAAAATATTGCTGTAAAACAGATGTGCAGTAGATATCTACATATAACAAATCAAATACAAAAGTTTAATACTGTAAAACAGGAGCGAAGTAGATCTCTACATCTAATACCCTGCATTAAAAAGGGCTTTACTCTCGTTTCAAAATAAAAACTTCAAATATGAGTATAAGTAATCGTTAGAAATACCCATCATGATCTTAAATAAATTTCTACTTTCTTCTTTTTCTGTAAATTTCATATCTGTATATATTTTTCAAAAAAAAAATTGTTTAAGTAAATTGTAAATAACTGACATATGTTTTTTTTTCTTTAAACCAAAGGAGGAAAATGGTGGAATTAAATTAGACCCTTTTATTGCAAAGAGTAATATATCTAACTCAGTCAGTTGGACGACTTTTAGTTTAAATATGACTGAGCAGGTCGCCGTTCTACGAGTAACATCTCGTGTAGAGACTGCATTCAAAATGTAAGTTAACATTAGGAGTTTACTTAATATTTGTTTGTATTGTTAATATTATTTCATGTATATAATCTGATCTTTCTGGTCAGGCCACAAAGAGGAATATGGTCTGACTTGTTCCCAGTTACGCCATCCAGAACTAAAGCGAGCCTTCTTTGTACAAACTGGATAGAAAAAGAAAGTTCTTCTCCAAAATTAAATGTTACAGAACCTTGTCCGTGTACTCTCCAACAGGCGATGTTAGACATTGTGAAATACCAGCCCGACCCTGACTGCAACATGCTCCACGTAGGATCACAGGGGCGGGGCAATTGTCGTTATAGGCGTGATGCACAACATTGTGTGAGGTTGACAACACCAAGGTATCGTTTCCTTTAAACCATTTCTGCAAAACACATGACAATCGACAATATTTCATAAGAAGAGGTAAAACAGCATTTTTGCAAACATTTTCTTCTCCTTTGTCATATAACGATTGTAATTAACATATTTAATTCTTGACAGCACGGTATATCATTCCTCAGGTTTTGAAGAAAATTTTGACAGAACCTCTATAATCAAAATTATCAATTACAATTAATTTTTTGAAATGCATCTTAAAATTGATAAATATACGACATTCATTTTTTAAAAAATGCATATATAATAATAGGTGGATTTAAAAAGGAAATTATTCAATTAAATATGAAGATATCGAACAGTAATCAAGCTCAAAAGTTCATTAAAAAATACATATTCGGAGCAGAACAAACAGGGGCCTTTAAAAGAATCAGAGGTACATATAAGATCGGGTGCCATGGAGAAGTAAGCATCCCGTCAACCGGAGAAATCCGTAGACATTTAAGTGTGTAAATAATGGTCTAAAAATTTGTATGAAAAACGTCAGTCATCATTTGACTAAATGCTAGATTGCTACTTGTTGACAAAATTATATAATCTACCATAGAATTTGCAACATGTTGACTTTAAATGAAACTGTTGATTTCCTTGTTTTAACAACTTGTTTACCAATAGCTAGCTTCGAATTAGATATTGTTCGTATGAAAAGCATTCGCTGGGGTATTGAATGAACTGTGAAGCATTAACTTCATATTCAGTTGATAAGGGTAAAATAGTCATGGATTTGTTTTATTTAGTATGTTGAATGTTTGGCTTTATGCCTAGTTATACTCACATAATCTTTAACGTTATTCAATGCTACGTATATTCAAGGCACGTGTCAAATGATATATTTAGACAAATTTTACACATTTCTTCAGGACACTTTGACAAAATTTGCATATATACTGAAAAAGATCAAATGAAACTTGTTCCTAGCCAGGAATTTACATAATTTTATCCACTTACCAAAGTGTACCCCATTGGTCTCAACTTTTATTTTATGTTTTGAAATTTACACAATATTTCTAACCTATCAGGACTTTAGAATTTTTAAATAAATATGATATCTCATTAGTGCAAAAAGGACACATAAAAATGGCAATATTTCCCCCATTAAATTAGTTTCTTTCAAACTCTTTGTACATAAAATAAGATTATATTTATTGTCATGATAACACCTGCATAAATATGATTGAGGTAAAAGATAAAAGATCAAGGCTAAGTAATTTGCACACTGATACACTGACACGCAATTTTCATACCGATTTTGAGTTGTACATGTAAATGCTATATCTAAACTATGCTTCTTAAAAATCCTTGATATCACCATTATAAGGAGTAACATACTTTAACGTTATTATTTTTAACTTTCCACTTCTGGCCTATTAGTAGGAACATTAAAAAATTAAAATAAATGAGATATGTCAAAAACTATGATTTATATGTATTGTAAAGAAAGAGAATTATTAGATCACATCAATGCAATGTTTGTATTTACAAAACATTGTATTATTATAACAGAAAAGAATTAAACTCTCACACTTAAGCTTTCCTTATTTATGAAGTAACATACCACCATTACCCGCATATGGTGTTTATGTCCCCCAACTGATTCGCTACTCAAGAGCATGCACCGAGTGCGATAATTTTTTTTAAACTGAGGCAGGCTATACACACATAAGTTGATATTACAGAGATTTCAAAAACCTCGTTTAAAGTCAGCATTTCGGAAATTCTAGGGTAGTTATAATGACCTTGTTAGCAAAAGTAACATAACAGTTATCTGGTCGTATTCTGCCTGACTTCTCTCATACCAATTATAGGCCTTTGATTTATACCAAATTTGACTACAGAATGTTCCGTATAAATTCGGCTCACGGCGGGTTTGACCGGTCAACAAGGGATGCTTACTTCTCCTAGGTACTTGATCTTTTGGGGGTCTGTGATTATGCTCTGTTCACAGATTTGCATTGTTTGAAGATTTATAAGATCGATCATTGTTTTTCATCTTCACCTTTTTCATGACATGTAACTCTAAACAATATTTCAGAAACTTTTCAATCATCCTGTCTTTTGGCCCCCCCCCCCCCCCCCCCCAGAAAAAAAAAAGATTGTACGATTATTAGTATCGTATAATAATAAACTGTAATAACTTTAGAATCATATTTTATTAACAATATATTGAAAGTTTAATTCCGCCTCTCTATCTTCCCTTTTCTTTCTCCCCTTCTTTCTCTCTTTATTTCTCAATCTCTAAAAAAATTTTGCACACATTTCTTGTCTTGTATATTATTGTGATTGTTTGTATCTATGACTTGTGTGATTTAAGAATAAAGAATCGTATGATTAACCTTTTTACACGACGTTGTATAGCTTTTTAGCTTACCTCAGATGAAAGCTCAAGTGAGCTTTTCTGATCTCATTTTGTCTGTAGTTCGTCTGTCCGTCTGCCTGTCTGTCTGTCTGTCTGTAAATTTTTCACATTTTCGACTTCTTCTTCAGAACCACTGGGCCAATTTCAACCAAACTTGCCACAAAGTATCCTTGGATAAAGGGGATTCAAGTTTGTTCAAATGAAGGACCACGCCCTCATTTAAGGGGAGACAGTTTAGTAAGAGTGAAAATTTGTTTGCATGTTTTAAAAATCTTCTTCTCAAGAACCACTGGGCCAATCTTTACACAGTGTAGATTCAAGTCTTTTCGAATGATGACCCCTGGGGGTAGTTTGGGGCTACAATATAATTTTAATGGGGGATCAAAATCTTACATAGGAATAAATAGGGGAAAACTTGTAAAATCATCTTTTCAAGAACAGCAAAAAAGCCATGATTAGTCATATTGATATGGAAGCATCCTCAGGTAGTGTAGATTCAAGTTTGTTCAAATGATGACCCCTGGGGGTAGGGTGGGACCACAATGGGAGATCAAAGTTTTACATAGGAATATATAGGGAAAAAACTTGAAAAACCTTCTCAATCACACCAAAGCCATGATTAGTTATATTGATATTGAAGCATCCTTAGGTAGTGTAGATTCAAGTTTCTTCAAATGATGACCCACCTGGGGGGGGGGGGGGGGTAGAATGGGGCCACAATGGGGGATCAAAGATCTGTATAGGAATATATAGGCAAAATATTCTTCTCAAGAACAGAAATGTTTAGTCATATTGATATGGAAGCATCCTCAGGTTTGTTTGTTTGTTTGTTTGTTTGTTTGTTTGTATGTTGTTTAACGTCCCTCTCGAGAATTTTTCACTCATATGGAGACGCCACCACTTGCCGGTGGAGAGCTGCAAATTTTGTCCTATACTCGGCGCTTACGGCCATTGAGCAGTGAGGGATCTTTTTCGTGCCAGCACATACTGTGACACGGGACCTCGGTTTATGCAGTCTCATCCGAAGGACTGGTATCCACGTCCCACAATGGGATTCGAACCCGCGACGTAAGGATCAACTCCTTACTTCGCGACTCTAGAGCAGACGCTCTAACCACTGCGCCACGCGGGCGACGCATCTTCAGGTAGTGTAGATTCAAGTTTGTTCAAAAGATGACCCCTGGGGTAGGGAGGTGCCACATTGGGGATTAAATATTTACAAAGGAATATATAGGGAAAAATCTTCTTCTCAAGAACAGAAAAGCCATGTTTAGCCATATTGGTATGGAAGCATTCTCAGGTAGTGTAGATTCAAGTTTGTTCAAATGATTACCCACTCGGGCAGGGAGGGGCCACAATTGGGGATTTACAAAGAATATATAGGGGAAAAAATCTTCTCAAGAACATATAAGCCATGTTAGTCATATTGATATGGAAGCATCCTCAGGTAGTGTAGATTCAAGTTTGTTCAAATGATAACCCCACCTTACCCCCCACCCCCCGGGGGTAGGGAGGGGCTATAATGGGGGATCAAATTTTAACAAAGGAAAATATAAGAAAAAAATCTTTAAAAATCTTCTACTCAAGAACAGCAAAGCCATTTGTTATATTGATACGGAAGCATCCTCACATAGTTTAAAATTCAAGTCCCCCTTCCCCATGTAAACATTTCAATACTGAACTGATATGTGATTTTTCTTAGCTAATGTGCTCAGGTGAGCGATGTAACACATGGGCATCTTGTTATACCTCTGCTCCGAAGCAGAGGGAGGTATACTGTTTTACCCATGTGTCTGTGTGTGAGTCTGTCTTTCTGCCCGTAAAAAAAAAAACTTTCGTTGCAGTTTTCGCAGCAACTACTCTTTGCACATGCTTGGAATTCATTTTAAGCTCACCTGAGCCGAATGCATATGTGACCTTTCTTATCAAAGAGTGCCCGGCGTCCGTCTGTCGTCTTTCGCCCGACGTCTGTAAATTTTTCACATTTTCGACTTTTTCTAAAGAATCACTGGGTTAATTTTTACCAAACTTGCCACAAAGCATCCTTGAGTAAAGGGAATTTAAATTTGTTCACAAGGAGTGCCACGCCCTCTTTCAAGGGGAGTTGATTAAGAATTCTTGAAACTTTTTTAAAATCGTCTTCTCAAGAACCACTGGGCATAAAAGATAAAACTTATGTTAAAGCTTCATTACATACTCTAGATTCAAGTTTGTTCATATCATAGCCCCCGGAGGTAGGGCTGGACCACAACAGGGGGTCAGAATTTACCATAGCAATATATAGGAAATATCTTATAAAAACTGCTTCCTTAGAACAGCCGAGCCATTATTAGCCATATTAATATAGAAGAATCCTCAGGTAGTGTAGATTCAAGTTTGTTCAAATCAGGAACCCTGGGGGCTGACCGCAGACACACTGGGATAAAGTTTTACATAGAAATATATAGGAAATATCTAAGAACAGCTGAGCGATTATAAGTGATATTCATTCAGAAATATCCTAAAGAAGTGTTGATTTAAGTTTGTTCAAATTATGACCCCTGGGGTAGCGCGGAGCCATAACAGTTGGTTAACGTTTTACATAGGAATATATAGGTGCAATGGCTTAGGGGCATTTGCGTAAATCGTTTTGAAGACTTCAAATGGTGGCATGCCCTGACAACCCTTGGAATGCACTAGCCAAAAGATATATGAGTAAAGCTTTGGAAAACTCAGGTTTTCAGAAGGTAGCTGGAGAAATTGAATCAGCAATAAAGAAGTTAAGGGTAAGAACATAATAAAAGTATAAAACTTATAAGCACCATTGGCAAGTATCTTAGGGAATTAATGTTAAGTTCTGGGTGTAGCTATTCTGAAGAAGATTGAGACAACCGGTTCTTATCTATCAGTAAGACCTACGGGAGAATGATGGTGCAAGAAGTACCTTACCCAGTCCCTGTCTTATATCAGAGAAATATTTTAGTACTGTGTGCTTTACCCTCAGACAGAGCGGTCTTAATAATCATTCCAATCATAAACTCAGACAGAGTAAAAGGAAAATTTATATATCCCTTTTAAGAACCTGATCAAACTAGTACACATTACAAAGGAAATATCTTTAAAAAAATTTCTTCTAAAAATAAGAAAGCCATTATTATCTTATTTATAGAGAAGCAACCTCGGGTATTGTAGAATCAAGTTTGTTCAAATTATGACCCCCAAAGGTTGGGGGCACAACAGAGGGTCAAAGTTTTACCTTAGAGTATAAAAAATCATCTTGAAAAAATCTTCTGTTCAAGAAAAGCAAAGCCATGATTAGTCATCTTATAGAATCATCCTCAGGTCATGTAGATTCAAATTTGTTTATATTTAGGGTGGGTAGGGTTTATTCCACAATGAGCGATCAGAGTATTACAATTTAAAATTCTTCAAAATTCTTCTGCTCAAGAACAGCAAAGCCCTCACTAGTAATATTGATATGGAAGCATCCTGAGGTAGTGTAAATTTAACTTTTCAATATTGAACAATTTTTGCTTTTTCCTAGCCAATGTACTCAGGCGAGCTGTGTGGCAAATTGGCCTCTTCTTCATGTTAACTTCCTGTTTGTTTGTGCGTCTGTCCGTACCAACTTTCCGTCGCTGTTTTCTCAGTAACTACTCAACGAAGATGCTTGAAATTTGAGCACACTTTTCGTTTAAGCATTCCATATAGTGGGACTCATTTTTGTATGAATCTGATTCTACTTCTAGTATATCCTTGCATCTCCCGTACAAAATTTTCACACGACATCGTACATTCACATCTGAGCGAGGGTATTATTAGTGGGCATTGGCTCAAAGACTTGTTGTTTCTTTCTACAGTGAAGATGGTGCCGATAACGTTTGCTGTTTCAATGAACGTGGAAACTTGATAGACTCAAGATCCCATGAAGGTGGTACACAACAGCGGTATCACTATCGAGGTGACAATCATGGGAATATGCCCTACGTGACAAACTTTTGCAAGGATGTTGTCCCGTTTCTGCACTGCTGTCGTTTTTCACAGACGGCCGTTAATAAAACCAGCGATGAAGAAGAAACGTACAGCCTCTGTCAGAAATTCCTGACATTACGACGATATAGTTCCTGTGAAAATTACAACCCTCCTAAACCAGGTCAGAATGATTAGTTTCAGATTCGTTATTCTGTGTGCTATAAATGTAAGTTATCAGAAACCATCAAAACGTTTTGTTTGAATGTGATAATTGTCAATGAATCAAAAGCTATTAAAAAAATGGAGAGAAACATTCTATAAAGGTTAAGCCTTGACACCCAAATCAGGCTTTTAAATCAAGAGGCCCTAGTGCATTTAAGTTAACACTTATCTTTTAAGTATTTCTGTTCTATAACATAATACGTGTATTTAACTGCTCAATTACTTATCACAAACGTTAACACAAGTAATAATATGTCAGTTTTAAACAGTTTTAAACGGTTCAGTCACCCCCCATAAGATATCATGGCTGTCCTTATGTAAGGGGGGGGGGGACACATTAAGATCATACAGCTTAGAGAATTAATGGTAGATTTGTAGATTATTTCATCAATTTTCATATATCTTAGCAGATGTCTATTTTAAATCTATGGTGTGTATGTATGTGTGTGCGTGAAGTTTTCCTTCTTTTCTGTTTCAGCAAGAACCAGTGGCGACCCTCATATCACCACACTAGACGGGCTCAGTTATACGTTTAATGGAGCTGGAGAGTTCGCGTACATTTACACAGAGGATGAACTATTTAAAAGCCAAATCCGATTCGAACAGTTCCGAAAAGACGATGGTAAGATCTTATAATTCACTTTGAATTCTGTTTGTTTGTTTTGAACATATTTTATTGACAATGTGTCAAAGGGATTAATTCTTGTAAACATCTTCATGAAATGGAGAAAATATATCAAACGGAACTGACATACATGTTCCTCTGACTAGGGTCTCTTGTAAAGGCAACTGTAGCCACAGCATTAGTGATGGAGTATGTGAATAGCACTGATCGCATAGAAATTAGACTCAACTCTATTAGAACAGCTGATGTCCTCACAAACGGAGAACTGCTTGATTTTCAAGACTCCAGATGGATAAACGTGAAAGGTGTTGTATTTGAATAAAATTAATTGATAGAATAAGTACATAAACTGATCGATTGGATTGATAATGTCTGTAATATTGGAAATTATTTTAGGTGTTACCATCATATTACTCCCTGCCAAAGGCAATAGCACGGATAAGTCATTTATGATCATTTTTCAAGATATCAAAATTGCATTCAGCATTGAAGCCTCCAAAACTATTTTAAACGTCATGCCGGTTGTTCATGGAAAGGAACTCAATGGTACTTTTTCTATGTTCTATTTTATTTATTTTTTAATCAATTAAAATCACTGAAATGTTCCCAAAAGTATTGTTTGCTGAAATTGAGAAAAATAGAATGAAAATGAAAAATACTGAAGAACTATTTAAAAAAAAAAATCATTGGTTCATATCGTACATATATACTTCATTTTACCATGATGATAATCTATTTTTATTACATTTTCAACAGTGAAATACTGTGATTTATTTATTGAATAAAAGTGACATTCTCTCACAGTGTGAAAGGATACCAAAATGATATTCTCTCTCAGTGTGAAAGGATATCAAAGTAAGTAAAAAATAATTTCTGGACTGTCATAAGATAGAGATAGTCACTAACGATCTTGATAGAGTTAAAACTGCAAATTTCTTCCCAAATATGTTGCAAAAAGCCATGCTATGTAATCTTTTCAATCTCAGCACTGCTAAGCTGTGACGTCTCAACCGCTCAACTATGACGTCAAGCCTATGACACTGTTTTCAGAAAAGACAGAGGCAAAGGAAAAATCAAAGAAAATGTAATAAACAGAAAATTCAATGTTTTGTAGATGAATATGGAATTTATTTCACTCGTGAGACAGGATTTTTTGATATTTTCCCTCGTGCTTTGCACTCGTAAAAAATATCAAAAATTCCTGCCCCACTCGTGAAATAAATTCCATATTCATCTACAAAACATTGAATACCCTCTATGTAGAAATGTGTATAGGGTGACTGAATACAAGACATGTTTTAATTTGAAGGAACACTGAAAGGATTGCTGGGAAATTATGATGACAGTCCTTCTAATGACCTACTTTCATCAACACATCAACAACTACAGCAAAATGAAACTGACGAGTCCCTGATTTTTCAATTTGGAATGTCCTGTATGCTTAGTTATTTTCTTGATATCCTTTATCAATTGTACTCAATTTGAAACTACAGTTTTAAGGTATACAATGTATAATAACAAGCAATGTTGAAGAATGAAATAGTACTATTTATTTTCTCATCTTTAGTGTTTGGAGGCTTTAATTCCAAAGTTACATTAAGTTTTGACCATACAATGTAGGATTTTCAATTCATACTCCCTGTGTTAGAAACAGTGAAGGAGGCGTTGTACCATAAAAAGAATTCTGTAACTTAATCTCAATTTCAGACTGCAGTATTACTTTAGATGAACAAAAATAACAAAGATGCTTACAGATAAATGCGATTTTTTTCCCAAAAAGTTGCTATAAACTTGTAAAATGTCCAGTTAAACATACATTACTCAGTGTTAAGTGTGCATTTCTTATAAAGACATTTTTTTCTAAAATAAAATCAAAATGGCTAAAATAATGACTTTAATAAATACTGTACAAAAATAAATTGCATAAAATATTTTTTACCGTGATAATTTGGGTTTCCTCTGCTTTGATGACATATATAATGCCAGCGTCTATAAAGCCGTGTTGATAAAGCACCGTGATTGTTTACAATGGTCGATAACTCTTAAGACTTGGACAGTGTTACGAATAGTGCCGATATTAAAACATCAGCAAATGTCGTCATTTTTACCGGAAGTGCCCTGTTATAGATCGAAATCCTTAAATTTCAATAGACTAGGTCTATGTATATGCCACAATATTATTGTTAGGTGCACTGATTTTTCTGACTGTAGGGGCCATCAATGAGACGGAGTCCCTGTTCACGTATGAACCTGGTAAGAGTTTTGCTGACTATCATCAGCCATCATTCCGGCCTGTGTTTGAATCGTCTGTATCGGTTACAGAAGAGATGAGGGCGGTTTGTGGAGAGGACAAAGATTGTATCTTCGATTTCTCTGTCACGGGATCACGTGAGGTAGCGGAACAATCCCGAACATTCCAGAAACAGTTTCAGGAATCTCAACAGGCAGCTGTGATAGGTATATGTATGAGATGTAATTATAGAACATGAATCTTCCCTAATTAAGAAAAGTCATTGTGAGTTTTTTTTTACCCGATCTCAAAATATGTACATACTTTTATTATAGTGTTGACATGCAGTGATTTGCCAACAGTTCCTGGTGGAGTATGGGAATCAACCAATGGGAATCTTGAAAATTCGTCTGCCTTTTTTGTTTGTAGAGATGGCTATACGATCTCTAATAACATAAGAAATGTTACATGCTTGAATGGGCGTTGGGAACAATATGAGCACGTTTCTTGTCAACTTAATAGTCTTCAAACCACCTTGCCAAGTACACACCCTGGTACGGATTTGTCTCAAAGTGCAAAGTTACCTGTCTACATAGGAGTTGGGGTTGGATTTTTCCTACTCACCACATTCATCGTAGTTTTTATCCTATATCAAAGGAAAAAAGCAAGGTGTGTACCGTTTATCTCCTACTATGTTAAAAAACCTTAACTCTTTTCATATGGATAACTTAAATTTATATTTATGTTATAATATTAGTGATGTCACAGCTTATCTAAATTTTGTTCGCTCACTCAGGCGCGGTCATTGGAAAGTCTTTTCTAATGAAAAGTCAGTGACTTTCTCCAAAACTGGCGATACGGAGGAAAACTTTGCTGCATTAACTCAGCTACCAATGGAACAAAACAAAGAGAAATGTTAACAATCGTTATAATTCATTAAATTGACTAGCCTGATTTACTCATGTATGCATAAATATCTCTTGATATATCACTCACTACCAATCAAAATTATTCATTGTACACATTTCACATAGTATGTCATCATGATCTGGCGATGATCTGTGTAATCAAATCAGCGTGTATTTGATCCCACGGATATCTGTACGACGTAACAGACTTGCAGGGAAACTGAGGAGTGGATGTGGATTAACTATATATATATATATATATATATATATATATATATATATATATATATATATATATATATATATATATATATATATATATATATATATATATCAAAAAAAAAAAAAACGAAAGAAATATCAGTGTTCAGTAATCAATATGTAAATTAAATAAAAAGGCAAAACTTCTTGTTCAAACGTAAGCGCTTTCATTGTTTTCTTCAGACGCTTTAAAAAGTTTAAACTTATGACGGAAAATCTCTTCCTGCAGCAATTTTCAATTCATGGATCTCGAAGTGATTTAAGGTTCTTTAAAGTCTAAGAGACAGTCTTATAAAAAAGTTGATATCTGAACACCACAAAAATATATGTTTTAAATCTTAAGAAACCTTTCCGTTAATCTAGCCTTAGATGCCAATGTTTATTGGCATGATATGAAATTAAACGTGATTTATGGTGCTTTGCAATGTTGGAAAACGCTTTATACACTATGCATAATAAATGCATAACAAAATATTGAAGTTAATAGAAGAAATTAAAGTACCGAATAAGTATAAAAATCAAGCAATTTTCTTCAAATGCTTGGATACTTACAGTTTATTATCCTAAAATTGAATGGATGATCCATTCTCAATTAGAAAATGCATAGTAATTTTTTTTTTATTTTTTGGTCTGATGTACATCAATTGTTACACAGAAAGTGCTTTTTGTACATGATTTTATCTTGTTGGCAATTGAGAATTTTCTTCTGAATAAACAAAAGATGTTTAAGTTACTTACAGTGTAATGAATAAAAGTACTGGATAATACACCACGTTAAGTTTTGAAGAGATAGGCGTTTGTGAAAAAAGTTGCACAAATTTTGCATTTCTAGTTTTGAAAAACCCAAAAAGTAATGGTAATGGTAATGCATTACTTTCTAAAGTAATGGTAATGTAATGCATTACTTTCTAAAGTAATGGTAATGTAATGCATTACTTTAAGAAATTAGAGTAATAGTAATGGTAATTTAATGCTCAAATTCTTGAAGTAATGGTAACGTACGTAATGCATTACTCTAAGAAATTAAATTAATGGTAATGGTAATTTAACGCCCAAATTCTTGAAGTAATGGTTATGTAATGCATTACTTGACAATGCAATTCGCCCCAAGTCTGATGTACGAATCGAAAAATTATACCTATCTTCAAATTATTGAACCTATCTTCAAATAAATTAAAAATAGGTATAATTGAATTAAAGATAGATCTTAATGAATTAAAGATAGGTATAAATACGAGGGTTGTCCAAAAAGTTGTAGACAGAGAAAACAATTTAGTTTTTCTTTGCTGAATTGAATTATTTCTTTTCTTGTCATAGTAAATAGCAATATTTTATGATCATAAATTTCAAGTTTCATAATAATAAAACATTTAAATAAGACAGTAATGTAAAAATGAAGAAAGAATATAAGTGTACATCGGCGCACGAAAGCAAGCTTGATTGACGTCTCTTATAAAGTTATGATCATTTTTTTTTTAAAGTATACTGTCCCGTGTGCTTAACACGCATCTCTTAGGCATCTAATTGATTTTTTAAATTGACAAATCAATCTTAACTGACGGACTCATAAAAAATCACAACTGTCCATAGCTGTTTTTATCAGATTAAATTTTCAGAAAGGCCGCCTTACATTGTAGGAAGCAGAGAATACACACAGTTTGACGTCGATCGTTACCTATAACGTTCCTCACCGTCTGAATTTAGCAGTTATTATTATACCTATCTTTAATTCGTTTCAACCCTAACAAAAAAGTACTATAGTTTACTATAGTTAACTATAGTTTACTATAGTTTAATATAGTATCAAAGTTTTTTCACTATAGTAAATCAAAGTATATTTACTATGGATTTCAGATCGTTATATTTTTTGTTCTTCAATTCATATATGCACATTTTTTATATTAAAGTGAAATATTATTTGTATATTCACATATTATTTCCAAATTTTACATTACTATCATTGAATTTAAGAGATTTTAAGCTTTGAAATCTCAAAAAAAGTTCCAGAGTAAAGTTTCATAGTAAATCAAAGTATCAAAGTTCTCACTATAGTTAACTATAGTAAACTATAGTAAATTTTTGTTAGGGAAGATAGGTAGAAGTGATTTAAAGATTGGTACAATTGATTTAAATATAGGTACAATCAATACATTTCCACAAAGGAATTGAAGATAGGTATAAATCAATTTTACCTAGGTTCAATTCAATTGCACCTAATAAACCAGCAAACTGTTGGAATTTCAGTGGGCAGTAATTGTGGTCCTTAATTAACTGACCTGTTTTTATATTCTTATGAAGTAGAATTTATTCAAAAACTTCTACATGAGAAGAGGAAAACACTAGTTGTGGCCTTCAATTTGACATTCAGATATATCGACGATGTTTTATCAATTAACAATAGTTATTTTCATTCGTATGTCGACTCGATATATCCAAGTGAACTTGAAATAAAAGACACTACACAGTCTGCCACATCTGTTTCACATTTAGATATTTTACTGACTATATATATGAAGGCCAGTTAACAACTAAATTGTATGACTAACGAGATGACTTTAGCTTTTGTATCGTCAACTTTCCATATTTATGTAGTAATATTCCGCTATCACCTGCATATGGTGTTTATATCTCCCAACTAATTCGCTACTCAAGAACTTGCACTGAGTACGATCAATTTTTAAAGCGAAGCAGGTTACTCATTAATGAGTTGATGTTACAGGGATTTCAACAGCCTCGTTTAAAGTCAGCATTTTATGTTCGTTATAATGACCTTGTTAGCAAATATAATCCATTATTGGGTCATATTTTGGCTGACTTGTTTCATACCAACTGTTAGGCATTTGTTTTTGTACTGAATTTACTACGGACAGAGAATGCTCACACCTCCTATACACCTGATCCCAAGTCTGGAATTTCCAGGGGTCTGTGTTTTGTGCCCTCTTCACATATTTGTATTGTTTATGATTTTTTTTTTTAGATCGATCACTGTTCGTTATCCTATTATGATATAACCTACTGTTATGTTCACCTTTTCACATTATTCCTAGGTTCAATTCAATTGCACCTATCTTTAAATCAATTATACCTATCTTTAATCTTTGGTATTTGTTCCTAAATCTTCAATTCATTTATGCTTATCTTCAAATCAATTGTACCTATCTTCAAATGAATTAAAGATAGATGAAATATGAAGATAACAAACAGTATTCAATCTCGAAATAATATAATTGAATTTAATTATCTTCAATTCATTTGGAGATAGGTACAATTGATTTAATGATAATAATAGGTACAATTATTTGAAGATAGGTACAAATATTTGAAGATAACAAACAGTATTCAATCTCGAAATAATATAATTGAATTTAATTATCTTCAATTCATTTGGAGATAGGTACAATTGATTTAATGATAATAATAGGTACAATTATTTGAAGATAGGTACAAATATTTGAATATATGTTGGTTTGGAGTTCTCTTGAATGTAACATTCATAGACTATGCTAGAAACAGAGGGCTTGCTGATTTAATGATAAAACATGTGATTTTTTGTATGTATCTTAATGAAATTAAAAACGAGAAAATAAGAATATACATATGTCAAAATATTGTTATTTCTACCGCGGTTAATTATTAATCGAGGCAATTTATTCGTATATCCCCCTCTCACAAGTGCAAAATAGAAAAAGCACGACTTAAGATTTTTTATTATTATTTAAGAGTGATCTCCATTCTATATCTTACATTAACATACCAAGTTTTTTCTTCAATCAAAAATGTTAGTTAGAAAGTGACGTGAAATAAATACTCTTTAAAATTGAAATTGAAATTGAATGATCAATATGTTTGCATAAATGTCTCGTCAAAATTCAAGCCAAAATCTTTGGTTAAAAGGTACATGTAGTTAATGATAAATGAGGCTAAAGGAATATGAAAATATTTTTAAACATCTGCATTCAGAAGCTCACAGAAAATCGGGTTTTTCAAAACAAAAATGATGGACCGATCATAATTATGTACTTTCATTCAATTCTCAGTAAAGACTGACCTTGAAATAAATGTTCTATTATCTCTGGCTTCTTGTAATTGCAACACATGTACACAAACCGATACAAAAATGTGTACAAAACTATCTAGATTCAGTTTCCTATCTCTTGAAACAAATTCAGAGAACCCGAACGACTTAAATGATAATGACGTCTTAATGATTAATTCGTTGAATTCCACAACATTTCAGTGATGCTCTTTTTCATTGGTTCGTTTACATGCAGAATGACTCTGATAATTTTTTTAAATAAACAAGTTCGTATTCAATAACAACACAAGAACGGTGTGAGACGTTCTTTATAAAATATGTTGTACCTGTTGTCTTTGTTGGGGTTAATCGGTCTGGTTTTTGTGGGCACAGTGAAAGTGTCTGACTTTTATCCTTTTGCTGAGGACAGGGGTGATACGACAATGCCTGCAAATGATGACGGAAGCTCTCCTAATATTTCAATTTCTGTGAAATTTCCATTTTTCAATCATCAACATGACCAATTAATCGTAAGTTTTAATCATTATGAAATTATTCAAGAAAGAAAGTATTGATTGTTTATACATATATTTAAGAGTTTTCTTTTAGGTGAGTACCAATGGTGCTATTTCATTCCTGACCCCAGTGTCACAATATACACCAGATCCTTTGCCACTGGATGGGGACCGTAGACTTATCACTCCCTTCTGGGGGGTGTGGATACAACAAAAGGGGGACATGTCCGATACAGGGAAACTACTGACCCCAATATACTACATAA